ATGAGTTGAAGGGATGTTGAGATTAAGTTCTTTGTTCGTGAGGTCCCTAGCGAAATGGTGCTGCTCATATGCTTGCTAGAAGCCGTTAACCATCTCGACAGGCAAAGGTGGTTTGGTCTGATCGACCAACGCTGTTTGTAATTTTGTGTAATATTTAAAGGCTTGAAAGGTTAATAATATCCGTACATTATTTTTGTCGTCAAAAAAAAAAAAGTGGTTCGGGAGAAGCAATAGAAATTTTAAGAAAAAACATCCAGCTTACGGCGGATCCGTACGACCACCTGTTTGTATTTTTGATATTTTAAGGCTTGAAGGTTAATAATATCCTACATTATTTTCGTCAAAAAAAAAAAAGGGTGGGAAAGAATAAATTTTAGAAAATCAAGCTTACGGGCTACAAAAACAGCACAAGCATCAGAGATATGAGGCTCCACAATAATCAAAATATCAAGTCTATGCAATTTATGAAACTCCTTAACCTGAATTCTAAAACCTCTCTTAGCTGCACCACCAAAATTCACATAATAACTTTTAAATCCATAAAAAAATGAATTAAAAAAAGAACACAAGAAAAGCACCTTGTAATAGGCATGATAGAATTGATGTAATCAAAATTATTTTTAATATAGACACTAAATTAGAAATGTTTTAATTACATTATATCAAATTGTATTACATAAGACTGCATAAAACTTGTTATAATCCAACTTAACCAAACAAGTTTAAAAATATAACATGTTCAAATTGGGTTAGTTGTATTTATAGCTCAGTGCTCGGATTGAATCACAAACAATATTTGATATAAAAATCTATATATATTCGACTCAATTAGTAAATAATACTCTTTTCATTCCAAAATTATAATCTCAATTTTCTTTTTAGGCTCTAAAATAATACTAGTTCCATTTATAATTTTAGAAATATCATTTCATAATACCCTTTTATAATAATCCGTGTGAATAATTAGTATTGGTTGAAATTGCTAAATAATGAAAATAGTCTTAAATTGATTTTAAAATTATAATACTAACTATTCATCATATTTTGAGTCTCAAAGAATCATTAATGTATCATGTTTAAAATCTTTTAAGGATATATATGTAAGAAAAAAATAGTCAAACTAATTTAACTAATTATTCTCGTAAACTATGTAAAAAAGAAATAGAACTATAATTTTGAGACGGATGGAGTAATGAAGCATGTACAATATTTATATTACTAATTCTATGTGATTATAAAATTTATAAATTAATTTATCTATTTTGTAATTTTGAAATGAATTCTTAGTTTTTTATAGAGATTTCAAGTGTGTGTGTGTATATATTTATTTATTTATTTATTTATTTGGTGGCAAAAGAAGAGCAGAATAAAAAGCAGAAATCTATCTCAAAAAGACAATGCTACAAGCAGCAGCCCAAATAATCAAAGACAAGGAACTAGGACTAGCTTTCTAAATGAATAAAGAAGAAGGAATGACATGCCCTAACTTGGCCAAATGATCAGCCACAGAATTAGTTTCACGAAACACATGATGGATAGAACACTTCCAATCACAAGTCATCGAGCTCTAAATATCCAAAATAAGAACAACCAAAGGATGAGCAATAGATAACCCTAAGCTCACCAGCGTAACAGCCTCTAAACAATCAGACTCAATAATAATCTTATGAAAACCACGGTCCCAAGCAAGAATAACTCCTGTCTGAATAGAGGACAACTCACCAACTAAAATAATAGAGTGACCAATATTAAGAGAATAGCCTCCAAGCCACCTCCCCCAGCAATCACGGAACACACTACCACCACTAGTCAACTTCGGATTAGTAAGACTACTACCATCACAATTTAACTTCACTTAACCCCCTTGAGGCTTAACCGAAGCCACAGAAAACTGCCTACTAACTCTAGCCGAAGCAAAAGCACAGAAAAACTGCCTACTTAACTCTAGCCGAAGCAGAGCATGAGGAGTAGAAGAAATTTCACAAGAAATCAAAACTACTTAAAAAAAAAAACAAATGATTTAAAAGCAGATAACAATAACTAAGCTGTCAATAGGAATTCAACTGCCTACTAACTCTAGCCGAAGCAACATCAGGAGTAGAAGAATTCACAATATCCAAAACTACTTTAAAAACACAATGATTTAAAGCAGAAACAATAACAAGTTCATTCTGAAAAACATACAAGTTCCTCGCTTTCCAAACCCACCAAATAGTAGCTAAAAACCAATGATGCTAGGAGATACCAAAGGGACCAGACATGTGCAAGGATAAATTTAAACACAACCACAACACCACATCATCCAACCAAAAAAAAATTAGGAGGCAAACTCCACTGCTGCCACCATGCCCGCACCACAACATAATCACGAAAAAGATGCAACACAGCCTCTTCCTCCATAGAATATAAACTACATAGACTAGAACGAGTCATGCCCCTCTGAAACCGAAAAGAATTAGTCGGCAAAGGGCTATGCAGAGCCAACCAAAGGAAATGTCTCAATTTAGGCAAACCATCAACAGACCAAATCTATGAGAAAGAAATAAAATCAATACCGACATGCACTTCCTCCAATAATGAAGATAAATAGGCTACTTTAACAAAAAAACTCACTATTAGAAGAAAAATTTCACAAAAATGAAATCCTGAACATGTTTTATTTGTTAATGAAAATAAAGAGCTTTAATTTATTTTTAGTTTAATTTTTTATCTTTTTTTAGAAAAATTATTTTATATTTGCATATTTTATATTTTTAATTATATTTTAAAATATCATAAATAAAAATTTGATTGAACAATATTTGATCCGGTTGAACTTTCCGATTCAGTGAACCCTGTCTTCACCGGTTCAACGACTGGTCCGGTTATCAAAATATTGAGTTTTACAGACTAAGTCATCCATTAACAAGTATTAGTAGTATAAAATATTCAATGAGACTAGGGTAACTAATAGAAATATTATTTATTATTAGGGCGGATTCAAAAAATCTAATTAGTGGGGGCAACACATGAAAATAATATTTCAGTGAGGGCAAAAGGTAAGAATTTAGTGGAGTAAATATAAATTAACATAATTATATATATTAAAATGCAAAAAATCATAAATTAAACTGTAAAAACTCAGCGGGGCAAGTGCCCCCATTGTAGATTTTGCCCCTGTTTGTTATGGGAATGGGGTAGTTCAGTGGTACAGAGCATTAGCGGGATCGATCATCATGGTTTAGATTATGGGTTCGATTCTCCGCAATGCAAACTTTCTTGGCTAGCCCCTTTGTCTTTAAGGGCGATTATAAATTAATCAGCTTTACTGTAGACCATTAAAACAAACATGTGCATGGATTCATTACCATGAAAACGATGTGGGTTTAAATTCCTTCGATTTATAGGTGACACCGTTTATGTTTGTGTGGAGTTTGGATGTGACGTAGATTCATTAAGATTATTTGAGAGTCTATTTTTTTTATTTTAAGAAAAAAAATGACATTCTCTTAATATTTTTTAAAGTTTTTTTTTTTTGACATTTTGGCTTCTTCGTTTCTGAAAAATAATTTACTTAAAAAAAAAATTTCAAATGGTTTATTTTCCGTTGTTTGGTTGCAATGTTGAAAATTAGTTCAAACTATTAAAATTTTTAACTCATAAGACCATAATAATAATATAAATTTCATTTTTTTAAAATTTTATTGTTAAATATGAGAATAATGCAAAAAAATAGTAAATTATGAAAGTCGTCGGTGATCGATGGTGGTAAACGGTAAGTGGTAGCAGTGGCTATTAATGATTAATAAATTAAAAAATATGGATTTATAAGGTTATAATAAGTTGGTCAAAATCTGGAAAATATTTTATGTTCTTGAAAATAGAAAGTCATTTTCCTTAAAATGACTTAATTTTCTTTTGACTAGAAAAATATTTTCCATTGACTTATTTTTCTAAACACCCCCAAATATATTTTCCTAAAGGTTATTTTATGGAAACCAACCAAGCTTGGAGTAATATTAAAATTTAAATTTAGGCTCTGTTTATTTTCGTAAAATAACTTGCTGAATAATATTTTCATAGAAAACATTTTCCTTGAAAAATATTTTTCAAATAACTTATTTTCTATTGTTTGGTTGAAATAATGAAAATTAGTTAAAAATATTAAAGTCTTTATCTTATACAACCATAAAAAATATTAATAATAATAAAAAAAATCAACTTGCTGGGAGTAATGAGTGTATCAGACTGAGAAAACATCTTCCTGTTGGGAACAATTAAATATATTACGCGAAGATTGGAGACGTATTGTACCTGCTGCATCTGCACATTCAGCTTGAATCCTAAGGAGAGTATGCGGAGGTAATATACGCCGTGTATCACACGCGCTGACACATCCCTAACACACTAGAGGTACCCGAATGCACTTTCGGAAAATATGCTTTGATAAAGATAAAAATTTATTTGTTAAAGTACTGGAAAACGATATGGCAAAAAAAAATAATAAAGTTATGGGAAAGGGGCCCGCTGAGGGTGGTTTTCCGGCTTGAAAATGTGAAACTTATGTAATTAGTGAAGATTACTAAATTAAAGAAGATATGAATTTTATAAAATTTACCAATAGTTGCAAGGAAAAATTTTTAATGCAAAAAAAATATAAATTATGAAAGCCGCCGAGTGGTCGGTGGTAAATGGTAACTGGTGGTAGTAATTATGATGATTACTAAATTAAAAAATATGAATTTATAAAATTTACCAATATTCAGAAAATATTTTAGTCACTCAAAAATGAAAAGTTATTTTTTTAAACAAATGACTTAATTTTTCTTTAACCTGAAAAATATTTTCTATTAATTTATTTTTCTAAATATTTTAAATAATAAAAAATTATGAAAAATATTTTATTATAAATCATTTTACGGAAAAGAAGGGAGGCTTTGCGACGTTTATTCAGTTCCCCAAAACATTAAAACCATGATAGCAAAAGCAGTCCATAGGTTCCTACGGCCCATATTACATTTAGCTCATAGACCACATTGCCTTCATAGTCATTCATCAACAACTTATCTGAGCAAAAACGGAAAAAACTACTCAAAACCCTAAACCCTCAGCAAAACACTCTCCGTCGCGCTCTATCGGCATAGTCCCAATGGCGAAGACAACGAAAAGTACCGGCGGTGACACCAAAACGAAGAAGAAGAACAAGAAAAACAAAAAGTCAGGTCCAAACGCCGTGGCCATGAAGGTCAAGACCACTCCAAAAGATAATCCTTTTGAGACCATCTGGTCGCGCCGCAAATTCGATATTCTTGGCAAGAAAAAAGGCAAAGGTGAAGAGCGTCGCATAGGTCTTGCCCGCTCTCTCGCCATAGACAAGGCACCTCTTTCCCTCTATCTGTAAATTCCTAAAAAATTCTATATATGAAGTAAATGTGAATGTAAAATGTTAATGTTTGGTAACCGCAGAGAAAGAAAACGCTGCTGAAAGAGTACGAGCAAAGTGGGAAGGCTTCAGTGTTTATCGATAAACGAATTGGGGAGAAGAATGATGAGCTCGGAGAGTTTGATAAGGCTATTATGCGGTCACAGCGCGAGCATCAGGTTTGCTTTGTGTTTCCATGTTTAATTCAAGAATTGTTTAATTTATTTTCAATCATCTTAAATTATTATTACAATTTTGCGCTCAAACGACTTGGAGAGAGGACATAATAAGAGAAACCATTTCTATGGTAAAAAGTAAATTTCATTGTATGAACGGTTTTGGTGCTTTTAACAAAATGCATAAATTTTTGTAGTTTACAACTTTTTTCGATCTCCTTATTTCTTGGATTATTCAGAATACATAGTATTGCATTTATTGTTGTATCCTTTTTCTTCTCTGGGCTTGATGACAGTAGAAGTTTAATTTTAGAAAACATTGTAGTTTTTGTCTTTCTGATCAATCATCAATAGGAGTGAAAACAATTCAATAGAAAAGGGTGAGATTTTTGTTACTGATTTAACTGTAGAACTAGAATTTCAATTTTTTTGTTGATTTGTTCCATTCGTACATAGCTGAAAATAGGCAAGAAGAGCAAGTATAACTTATCAGATGGAGAAGAAGAAGATTTTGATATTCAGGGTCTTGGTCCACTTTCTGGGCGGGATGATTTTGAGGATGAAATGCTATCTGATGATGATAAAGATGATGCTGAAGCAGGTAAAATGAGTATGTATCCACTTGATGTTTTTTATGCCAATTTGGGCTTTGTTTATCTAATAATGCCAATGGAAATCCAACTTTAGTTTAGCTTTTGCTTGTAATTGCTGCAAATCCGTATTTTCTAAAAAGTATGCTGGTTTGCTGTCAAATTCATATAAATTGCAACTTCAGTTAGTTTTTCTTTTTTCGTTCTTCATATCTTCCTTACTGGTCTTGAGCTAATTCAGCACCTTGTTTAAGGTTGCATCCTAAAATTTTGTGTGCTGTCACAGTGTTGTAAATTATTTTATTTTCATATTTTTGCACCTCTATAGATGCAAAGTTCAACATTCATCTTCTGTTCTTCACCTCTAGACATCCAAAGGCCACAGCAGAATGTTCCGAAACTGTTGTAACAATTGAAAAGCAATTGAAATATGTTGGCTGACTCTAGTTTTCTCTCTGTAAATGCCCTTTTTTACAATATATTTAAATTGAATATATCTTGGCAAAAGTAGTCTCTCTAAGTTAAGTCTGTCTCTTATTGTTTCACTGCATTCTATACAAATCTTAATTTCTTAATTTTTTGTTTGTTAAAATATAGTTTCCTGGGCACTAATTTTGTCCAGTTGACATTCAATTTTCAATAGACATGGTACAGGTGCTGCAATTTGTTTATGTGATGGAATAGATGCTTATCGGTCTAGTTGCTCTTGACATGTGGTTTAGACTTCATCCTGCATTCCCAATTTCTATAACTCATTGTTATGTTGTAATCGAAATGTGTTATTATTTCATTCTTGTTTCTTTAGGATTTATTGACTTCAAACTTTTTCTTTCTTTTTATTTACGGGGATGTCAGACACCTTAAAACAACTTAATTCTTATGAGGTGCATAACCAAGAGGAGCAGGGTATGGTGGAAGGAGGAGAAAAGGTGAGAAAATATGAGAGACTGCTGATTATTCTCATTACTAATTTTTTGACTTCAGAATTGAACAAGTGAGATATTTTTTGCAAATTTGTTAAATCTAGTCTACAATTCTGCTTTGTTCAATTAAAGTTTTGATGGATGCCAAATGATGTCTTTGCCTGTTGTAATTTAAAGTATGACTTTCTAATTGCAGATACACAAAACAAAGAAGGAAGTAATGGAGGAGGTTATCTTGAAAAGCAAGTTTTTCAAGGTGCTTAGCTGAACCCTGTCTGATTGAAGCTGCTCCGCAGATGAAGCTATATCTTTGTTCTGATTATTGTACTTTTTTTTTTTTTTTTGGCCTGTAAACCGTCTGATTGAAGCTGCTCCGCAAAGATGAAGCTATAGGTCCTGCTCTGATAAGTGAGTGTACTTTTTTTTGATTTGTGGCTTTATGATCTAAGCAGCTCAAGTATTTTTTTTTTTTTTTGGCTTATTGATCAGGCTCAAAAGGCAAAAGATAAGGAAGAAAATGAACAGTTAATGGAAGAATTAGATAAAAGCTTCACATCCTTAGTCCAGTCTCAAGTCTTGTTTTCTTTGACTGAACCTGGCAAGATGAATGCCCTGAAAGCTCTTGTGAATAAGAGCATTCCCAATGAGCATGTGAAGAATGATGACATGTTAGGTGCTCAAAAACCAGAAGCTTTTAGGCAGGTACAGTTTGATAGTTCTGGGTTCCGTCAGCCTTTTCTTAAGCAATTAAACTTAATGATTCCTGAGTTTGCTATTTTTGCTGGAGCCTATTTCTGTAGAAGTCTTCCATTTTTTTGTTCCATTATTTTATATGCCATGTTTATGATATCCCACATTCTCCTGAAATTAGAGATGTATTATCCTGTGAAGACCTATATACCCCAATTTACATTGTCCCCCAGAAATTTTGTTTGTTTGTTCAGTCTATGGGTGATCTGAAGCTCTAACCTTCACAAAGCCATTAACAACTAGCTTTGTTGTTCTTGGCATGAGGATTTGATATTGTTTGCCATCTCTTGCAGGAACAACCTGATTCTTACGATAAACTTGTCAAAGCTATGGCATTGGATATTCGCGCTCATCCATCAGACAGGACAAAGACACCAGAAGAGATTGCCCAGGAAGAGAGGGAACGACTAGAGCGGTTAGAGGTATGGCTCTGCTATTTGAAGCTTAACTTGTGTGTCAGACCAATTGATATAAACTTTATCCATATCACTGAACTAAAATATTCCTTACTTTTATTGATTCTACCTGTAAATCTATCTTATTAGCTACTGTTTTCTGAAGATTTAGATCTCACTTGCCAACTTACCGGTGCTTAACAATTTCAGGAGGAGCGTCAGAAAAGGATGTTTTCAACTAATGATTCTAGTGATGAAGAGAATGATGATATTGAGAAGCCATCAACCCAAAGGCCAAGATCAGTATCTGGAGATGATCTGGGTGATTCCTTTTCTCTTCAGGAAGAGCCTAAGCCTACAAAGGGCTGGGTTGATGAGATTCTTGAAAGAAGAGATGCGGATGAGTCTGAAAGTGAAGATGATAATTCTTCTGAAAATTCAGGAAGTGCTGAAGATGAAGGTGATAATGAAGGATCTGATGAAGATGCTGGTGACAATGAAGGATCTGATGGAGATGATAGTGACAAAGAAAACGATGAATCCAAGAATATTCTGTCTTTGAAGGATTGGGAGCAGAGTGATGATGATAAGCTTGGCACAGATTTGCAAGATGAAGAAGATGAATACAATGAAAATCTTGATGATGACACTGAAGAAGCAGATGTTAGAGGGCACAAGAAGTCAAAGAAAAATGATGATGTTGAGACTAGGGAAAGAGATACAGAATCTTTGGTTGCAAAGAAGATAAAACAGCGTTCAACTGAACCAGACATTCCCTTTTTAATTGAAGCTCCAAAGAGCTTTCAAGAACTGTGTGCATTATTGGAGAATTGTTCTAATTCTAATGTTATTACTGTAATCAATCGGATTCGGGCGAGCAATGCTATAAAGCTTGCTGCAGAAAATCGGAAGAAAATGCAAGTATGGGAATTTTTCTTCATCTGTTTGTTATTTGTTTTATTTATTTATATATTTATTTTTATTATTACTGCAGGTTTTTTTTGTTCCTTGTTGGGTTGTTTTCTCTTTTTTCTTTCTTTCTTTTTTTTTTTTTTTTTTTTTTTTTTGTTGTTTGCGTCTTTTTCTTTCTTTCTTTTTTTTCTGGTTTTTTTTTTTTTTTTGTTTAGGTTGGGGGGGGGGGGGGGGGGCGTGTTTTTCATTAATGTGGTGCTAATGCTTTGGGCCTTTTTTGTTTGCTTTAAAATCTATATTTGGGGGGGGGGGGGGGTTTCATTAATCTAATGTCTGCCTTTTGTTTTCTTTATAATCTATATTTATTGAGGGAGACGACAATATGCAGATCTTCATGAACCAAATGCTTCCATATATGAAGACATTTAACTAAATATTTTTGAACACCAGTTCTCAAGTTCATAAACTACTGTGAAAACTCATCACTTCTGTATCTAAGTTACAGTAGGGTGGTGGCGTAGCTTTGAGTGCTGTGGTTATTGATATTTTATAATCTGATAATCAGGCAAGAAAAGCAAACAAAGTTGTACCACAGAAAGTGGTATTTTGATTCTGTTACGTTGATTTTTAATGCTCCTGAAGTAGTCAGTATATATATATATATTAACCATTGCTGTATTTTCTCAAATAAAAAGGTGATTTTGGTTAATATGTTTATCAGATTTTATTCAATGTTGCTTTTTCCTTCCTCTTTCTTTATTGCATGCCTCAAGAATTGAATATATTGTTAACAGTGATTCAGGGTCTTGGATATCACACATGATATGGTTAAGCTATTGAAGTGTTCATTATGGCTTGGTTGCTGTTTTGCTTTTGTAAATGAAATTATTCCGTTCTGCAGGTCTTCTACGGTTTATTATTGCAGTATTTTGCTGTCTTAGCAAATAAAAAGCCCTTGAATTTTGAGTTGTTGAATTTGCTGGTCAAGCCACTGATAGAGATGAGCATGGAGATTCCTTACTTCTCTGCAATATGTGCTCGCCAAAGGATTTTGCGAACTCGAGCGCAGTTTTGTGAATCTATTAAGACTGCAGGTTAGTCCTAATATGATGGGAAAGTTAATGATTTTTCCAACTCTTTCAGAAGCTTTTTAATTCTGCAGCTCTCCAACTTATTCGTCTTCTTCCTCTTTTTTTTCCCCTGGCAGAGAATGGGTGTTGGCCTTCCATGAAAACATTGTCCCTGTTGAGGTTGTGGTCCATGATTTTTCCATGCTCTGACTTTCGCCATGCTGTTATGACGCCAGCAATATTATTGATGTGTGAATATCTGATGCGTTGCCCCATCAAGTTGGGTCGTGATATTGCAGTTGGTTCTTTCTTATGCTCCATGGTTCTCTCTGTACGTACACTGATACATTATTTTCTTTACCAGTTCTTATACAAAACTGAATGCAACGTGCTTCAATTTTTTGGCAGCATAATCTTCTGTAGCTCTTCTTTATGCTACAGCTTTTCATCTTGTACTTGGTGGTGTGCTCACATGTTGGGGATGCTTATAGACGTTACTTTCTTATTCATGTCCTACATTTTATCTCAATGTTCTTTCTTGTATGAACCTGTTGGCTTGTCATGTTGAGAATGGCATTGTCAAAATTGTTTGCTAGTACCCTTATTTCCCCAACTCTTGCACTTTCTCTCTATTAATGTGATCCATTTGTTTTGCAGATAACTAAACAATCTAAGAAGTTCTGTCCTGAAGCCATAGTGTTTTTGCAGAATCTTTTAATGGCAGCCACTGAAAGAAAAAAAGCATCATATCAGGAATCTGAGGTATATGGCCCTGTGATGGTTGTGTTTTGTGATGTGGCTTCCATTGTACCGCAGTTTTCATTGCCTCGTATTCATGTTTTTCATTCAACAGATGATTGGCTTCTGATTCCAATTCATAGTAAATAAACAAAGGGCTAACACCCTCATATCTTGAACTTTGGATATATCTCAAGCTCATCTAATTGTTTAGTTTTGCATCAATTTTTTCTTAGACATTATAATTTGTAGCAATTGTATGCAGAGTGGAAATCACAACAATGCATGTGTTTACCCTGAGGTAGCTTTGAAGTTCCTGGCCACCAAAACCTCTATTTTATCCAATCCTCTTGTTTCATAGTGTTTTAGAGGTTTAGACAGCTTGAGATGGACTCCAGTCAAATGATTTAAATATAACTTAACCCCCTATGCCCAACGTTTTCAGCTTGCAGATTCAATACCAGCTTAAGATAGATACATCTCATTTTGTGATTGCTACACCTCGATACACTTGCTACCAATGATCTAGCATGAGAAAAGTTGACAGAATTGTATAAAATTAAAATTCCGACAAAATTGAGGATTTATGATTGTAGTTTTATTTTTTCATGATGCACTTTCTTTTCAAGTGTACCTGATGAAGGTCGCACTACATGCAGCAGGTTGAAGTAATGACTGTTGATTATTCTTATTCTGGCAGTTCTATCGTCAAATGGAACTAAAAGAGCTCGGGCCACTTTTGTGCATGCACCACTGTGTAAATGAGATTAGTCCTCTGAATTTTTTCATGATAATGGACATGCCAGAGGATTCTGCCTTTTTTAGCTCAGATAATTTCAGGTTAGTAAATATTTTGTTTCTAGGTAGTTTATGCTACAGCAGGCTATACTTTGTGTCGATGCTTCCATCCTTTTGACAACTTTGAAAGGTTAAATATTTATGTTCAAATGCGTGATACCCGAGGGTATACCTTGAGATAAAAATAAGTTGAGAAATGAAGGCTTTTTAGAAAAAATATCATTTGCTATAAACAAGGGCTTTGTGAACCACAGAGGGAGGGGGTTGGCACGAGTAAGTCAGTTTTGGGGACCGAAGGCAGTTCTCCTTGTCTTTGTATGCAGCCTTTCTGCATTATTTTTACTCAAATCTCAAAGAAGCAATACCACTAGAAATCTTAGAAAATAGGTCTCTAATTGATCAATAATTGGAACACAGTACATGGATGCATTTGGAGGTTTCTATAATTGTTAATGCAACTTGGACTTGGATTCTTAAATTGAACAATCAACAACTTGTGATCCGCAAGTAATTTCCCGATAAAGAAATCATCACCCAAAACATAAGTTAAGATCCAAAATGCTACAACCCCAGCCATTGTGACCCTGAAATTACTATCTTAGTTCTGAACCAATGGAAAGCATATACATATTGAAATTTTACTTGGCAGCATATGGTAGGTCTTCATGCCACTATGAACTATTTGACTATTGATGTGGTATTATGTTGTGGCTATTTGACAGTAGTTGGAATTCATTTTGGTACTGTTATCAATGTCGTTATTTCGCTGTTATTTCTGATTGCTGAAAATTAATTTGGTGTGCAGGGCTAGTGTGCTGGTTACTGTTATAGAAACAATACGAGGATATGTTGATACTTATCAGGAGCTGAATTCTTTTCCTGAAATATTTTCGCTGCTTTCAGAATTGTTGCTAGATGTGGCAAAACAAGAAAAGATACCAGCAGCATTGCAAGATAAATTTAAAGACGTTGCTGAAGTTATTCGAAAGAAAACAGATGAACATTATATGCTGCGACGACCACTTCAAATGCGGAAGCAGAAGCCAGTGCCTATCAAACTACTTAATCCTAAATTTGAGGAGAAGTATATAACCATTTCATGTCACTTCTCTTTATTTTTGTCATTTTGCATTCTGTTGCTAACAACTAAGAGCTAAAAACATTTTAATGAACTGCCTTGTTATTTTGCAGCTATGTCAAGGGTAGAGATTATGATCCAGATCGTGAACGTGTTGAAACAAGAAAGTTAAAGAAACTTATAAAACGAGAAGCTAAAGGGGCAGCTCGTGAACTGCGCAAGGATAATTATTTCTTATTTGAGGTGAAGGAGAAAGACAAGGCATTGTTGGAAGAGGAAAGAGCGGAGAAATACGGAAGGGCAAAAGCTTTCCTCCAAGAACAGGAACACGCTTTCATATCTGGACAGCTAGGAAAAGGAAGGAAGAGAAGAAGATGAAACTGATCGAGCTGATAATCTGTTTGTGCGACTTTCTTCATTTTCTTATTTGTCAAGGTAACAAGTTTCTATGATTTTTTTCTTTCTAAAATAGTGCTGCTGACATATATATAGTAGTTTATTTACAGAAAACTGTATAATTTGGCGGGGGGGCTGTTTTGCTGTGTATTATCCTTTTTGTTTTTGGGTGCAAAGCAGCAAGCTCGAGTCATGTAAAATTTTCCATCTGCAATATTTATTTAGTTTCTATTGAAAATTGATTCTAATTTGTTGCATGGATCGGATTGTTGAGTTGGACTTGACAGATCGGATTGTATCATCAACCCCGATTTCTCACTTTTGTTATAATTTCACCCCAAACATTAAGCAAAACGCAAATTTTATGGTATTTTAATGGTTTACTGCGTTGTTTTCAAAAAAAAAAAAAAAAAAAAAAAAAAAAAAAATTCTTTAATGGTTTCTTGTCGTTGGTTTTAAAAAAAAAAAAAAAAAAAAAAAAAAAAAAAAGGGAATTATCTAAAATCATATAGGTTGAATTTAAAAATTAAGCAAACCTTTTTATAGGTTGAGAATGCAAGCCCACCAATCTAGACCAGACCAGATTATCACATCAAAATGAAATGTCATCTGACGCTGACAACAAAATTATATAACTTCACAAATAGAACCTGGAAAATGGGATAGAATGGCCGATATTATTACATGATCCCATTCCCACGATGAAATGGTTGGTTAAATTAGTTATGATCACAATTTTAGAATCACTTATTCTAAATTTTAAAACCAGCTGATTTGAGTGATATAAAAATAAACTAGAATCGAACCGTCTTTAGGTTGGAACCAAAGTAAATAATCTTTTTTGAGCTTTTTATTTATTTATTTTTGGTTTGTAGCTTAAACAAATAATATTAATAAATAATTCTATTGAAAAAACTAAACTATATAAACGTTTTTAAATTTTATTTTAAAAAATTACAATAACAATATAAATTAGGAGTTTTTTTTTATTTTTTTTTCATCATTTGAAACTGAAATCCTCGATTTTGATCTTAATTGGAATTGAACTATAACCGCGTGATTTCAATTTATCATTCAAAAGTTTGATATCGATTTGATTTTTGTTCTTATCCAATTTGAAATCAAACTTTGATCATGTTTACCAATTTTCAAATAGTTAAATCAAACTTTGATTTATCCTCGATTTAATTTCGCTTACCATTATGTAGGATTCTGGCATATATATATATATATATATATATATAAATGAGGAAAAAATAATTTTAAAATTAAGGAATCTAACCTCCACTCCTTGCCCACCTAATTGACATCTTATGGGTAATTTGTTTATGGATGCAAATATGGAAAAATAATTTTAGATCTAAGAAATCTAACGTTTAATAACAAGTCAACCGTACTCAATATAAAAAGTTAAATACATCTACTAAAAGAAAAGAATTAAATATACTTAACTAATTGGATATAAAAAAAAATTAAGAATAAGGAAAACAAATTCTAAAAATAAGGAATCTGAACCTCTATAGGTTTTAAAAATAGTTTGATAAAAAAATAAAAAGTGGCAGCCTCTTTTACGAGAATTTTTATTGGTCAAAATTTAAAAATTATATATTTTTTATTTTTTAAATTTTCAAAAATTTATTATTTACATCCTAATTAATAAATTAAACTTGGCCTATATAATTTCTTTTTCATAGTGGAAAAATCACAAAGACCAAACAATGAAATCCATTGGTCTCTATAAGTTTAAAACCAGACCAAGCAAATAGCATATAATGTTGTTAGGTCAAGCTCCACAATAATAGTGTTAAGCACTAAAATTAAAAATGAAGGTCTTATGTTATTTTTTTGGCAGGTGATCCATTGTAGTAAGGACAGCTGGCTCTTCTTAAAAGCGTCAATTAATTTCCATTAATTAATCTTTCTTAAGCTTAAAGTTGTTTGACCACACCAACCCTATCCACCATTCAAATCAACCTCTTTTCTTTTTCTTTTTCTTTTTCTTTTTCTTTTTCTTTTTTTCCCCTTAACTTGAATATTGGGGAAAGGATTTTGAAAATGTATATATTAGTTTTGTCATCTTTAACTGAATTAGTTATTCTTTTATTTCACATTTAAAATATTTTATATAATAATTAAGAAAATAATTAAATTTTAAATAAAGCTCAATTTAATTCAATTATCTTTGTTCCACCTAACTCATTCAATTTCAATAATTTTCTTTCTATTAATCATTAAATTAGAAAGAGAACATTTAATAAGTTGAGTTTTAAAAAATTGTACAAAATAGTTATTGTATTTGGTAGAAATAATGGTAAAATTAAAAAAAATAATAATACAACCTCCATCCACAAATATAAGTTATTTTAGAATGGTAGTTTTATCATAAATGTTTGTCACTTTGAGAAATTTTTTCCAAATTTATGCTTTTATATTTAGATGGTAGTTTTATCAATAAATGTTGTCACTGTTGAGAAATTTTTTCCAAATTTATCTTTTAATATATATATATTATATTATATATATATATAAATATATAACTTTTAATAATTTTGAAAACTATTTTTAATCAAATTACTGATGAGGTAAATGATAATTTTATTTAAATTATATATTAATTACTTTTATAATTTTGAAAACTATTTTAATCAAATTAATGATGTAAGGTAAATGATAATTTTATTAAATTAATGAAGATTTAATTACTTCATCGATCGTGAAAAACCTTAAAGGATACCTTTGTTCCTCACAAATGTCTAACTTTCAATTTTTTCATATAAAATAAAAAAAATACTAGTTTATCTTATTCTATAAAATTTTCATGTTAAATTGCTTTAATACCATTTTTACCTTTTCTTTGGTGTTAGTGATATTCACTAAATAAGAATAGAAAATTAAAAATGCAATAATTCCTTTTTAAATTCTATAAAATGATACTTGCGCTCCGTCTAGTATAATAAATTTAAAACATAAAATTTATTTATCAACTTATAAATTATTAATCAATCCAATTTGAGAAAGAAAAAGATTAAAATTCAATTAAGTCCCTGACTTTAATTGCAGACAGTCAAGTTGAATTCGAAATGCGAAATCAATCATCATCAAGATCTGACCTTCTGAAAATCAAGTTGCTGTAAAACCCATCTGCTACCAACTTTTTTGGCGACATTAATTATCGAAGGGATGCTCAACTTTTTGTTTGGTAGTGGAAAATGGAACGAAAATATCTCTAATTGGGAAAAGGGTTGGTTGATCAAAGTGCAATAGAATCCTAACCGTCGGCTTTTTCGACTTCTGCCATGGTGGTGAATTAATAGTTAATACAATTCTAAAAATATCTAATAGTTATTTTTATTATTTTTAATTATAAACAAAATGATTACATAAAATTATATTAAAAAGTGATTTACTAATAATTACTACTTTTATAAGATTAATATATATTAAATTTAAATAGAATATATGTATTTAGTTGAGCAATTTATGGTTCATAACTAATTTGTATCTAATAGTTAGGTTGGATGTGTTCCGTAAGAATTTTAATCAACATCAGACAATTGATATAAATCAAAATTAGCTTTATTTTAGAGTTTTTTGGCTATCATCTATTATTCGATTTGTTTGTACTTATATTGTACAACTTCTGATTCCATTTGTTGGGTGTGTTCAGCAAAATTAATTATTTTGGTAGTTATTAATTATTTTAGTAGTATTTATCTGTTAGGTATTTTAGTAACTTTTTATGAAAAACTAAAAGCTAAATGCTATTTTTTAACCTCTAAAAACTAGTTTAAAATGCTATAATAGCATATTTGATAAGTTAAAATGCTAAAACTACTTAAAAAAAAAACTATTGCCGAGTACAACTATTGAGTGTTAATGTTTTCAACTTATTAAGTCAACTCAAGCTTTTTTTTTTTTTTTACTTCTCCCTTCTAAAGTTGGTTTTTGAATTGATTTGTTGAATGGTGTGAAAAAAAGGCCTGCATTAGAGCTCTGGCTACCAAGAGAACGCCAACTTGATGGTCACAGGTTAGCATGAATGTGCAAACGATGGGTCAAGTTTAAATCTTAATGATATCAAAGCGAATCAAATCAAATTGAACTTTTCGAGCGGAATTGACTAGAATGAAAACAGATTTCATAAACAAACCAACTCGAACCGAATTGGTTCACTTCTTTCTAGTTATTTAGTTTTTGCAGTATTTTCAGAGTCAATTAGGTGTTAAGCCTATTTTTTGAGCTTCATGAAATTGAGATTAAAAAAAAAAAAAGAATCTTGACTTGTCCATTAAATCGATAATCAAATTTCTTGTGAAAAAATCAATTAAACCAAACCAAGCTGGTTGAATTTGATCAATATAAATCGAATTATGCTTAATCTAGTGCTTAATATATGATTAAATTAATTGCATTAAACTATTTGTATTAAAGAAATCCTCCGAGGATGGATGAGTTCGAGGGAAGAGAAATAATCCAGCTAATTTTAAAATTTTTAATATTTAATATTGCCACATGTTATAAATTTGATATTTAGCAGTAAAGTCATTTTTATATTGTACAAATTAAAATTGGATTATTTTTAAGCTATAAATTAAAATTCAGGCACGAGAAAATGCATAAGAACTGAGATTATTTTCTACTCTTGAGCTTGATTACTAAAACTATTTATGATCCTTGACTTCAATTTGCAGCCATTAGATATAAATAGATGGAAAATTTACATGATTTGAATGACCAGATGGACCACTCAACTATCATATCTGTTTGTTTTGGTAAGGGTGAGGTACCCAAGAGATGACCTCTCTCCGACATTCTCATTGTAATTTGCAGCATCTGCCCTTATGAGTTGGGCTGCTCTTAATAAACTTTAATATAATTTGTATTTAAAAATGTACCCTGTAAGTCTGTTTAAATTGCGGTACTGCTTGATTATTGCAGTTGAAGATAGCTCTTGTACACGGTAACTTCAAAGTTCGAAAGCTTTATTTTGGGTAGGAGTATTGTAATTATAAATCCGAATTTAATCACGCATCTGAAATTTAAATTTTGAGATATTTATAAATTTTTTATTTTTTTTTTAAATCATATATAAAATTTTTAATAATTTGGGCTACTTATAGTGAATTATCTATATAAATTATAATTGTACTTTTAATTTAATGTAGTGTAAAATAATTTCACTCTAGTTTTCTTATATTAATTTGAATTGGTCAAATTTTTAAAATTTTAGATTAAATTTAAAATTTAATTTCTAATATTGATTTAAAATTCAATTTCAAATAATGGAGAAAAATCATAATGATAATAGTAATTTGGAGAGTTCATATAATAATATTCAAATAGTACATTGAACCAGATGCCATTTCACTTCTTGCTGTTGTTGACTCTGAACAGACGTTACCGCTCATACAGCTCCTAGCCAGCAAGCAGTTAGCCTTCCTAGCTGTATACAGATATGAGATACATATCAATATATTTCTATATTTTTGTATAGTACATATCAATATATTTCTATATTTTTGTATAGGAAGTCTAATAATAAACCACTTATACAAAGAATAAAAAACATAATTTTGATTTGAAGTATCTGATCCAGTTGACAGAGCATAATATTTGTGCCATCGGCAATCGCTTGCTCCACTTGGTAGCTATTCATGGCCACTGTTCAACTCATGGTCTTTCAACAAGTCCGATTTGGTTACCTTCAAATTTTTTCTGAAGATATGCACTTATTTCTGCATAACTATCTAAATAACAAAAGACGCTAGATAAAATCACCATAATGGTGACAACAATAACTCAGAATTAGATCTGAGAATAAAATTTTAATATATGGGCGACAACAAATCTCAATAATTAGGAAACAATAACTTAGATCTATATATTATTTGCAAAAAACTAAATAAAAAAAGATAAGAAAAAGAAAAAAGGGAGACCACTGGTGCAAGCTCACCGGTGGGCACCCGTGAAAGAAGAAAAAAGGGCTTCAGATTTTAGGTTGAGAGAGAAAAAGAGAGCGGCTAGATTAAGATAGGTTTTTTTTTTTTTTTTTTTTTTTTTTTGAAGAAAAAAGGCTCAAGATTTTAGGTGAGAGAGAAAAAGAGAGCGGCTAGATAAGAAAGGTTTTTTTTTTTTTTTTTTTTTTTTTGCCAACGGTTTTTTTTTTTTTTTTTTTTTTTTTTGCACACGAAATATAATTATTCATATATTCTTTATTAATTGATTTTATTATAACTACATTTGGAGAGTATGCTACCATTACATTTGAGTGAAGTTATATAAGAAGAACAACTTTTGAATTAAAATTTTAACTTGTCATTGTTCGAACATTTATTTATGTATTAAATTATTTTCATATTTTTTATGTATTATGTAAATCATTTGGATAAATATTTTAAATTTTTTTAGTTCAATATAATGTAATTTTTAAACAATATGAATCATTGAACAAATGAGTATCCGTGGTAATGGGTATCTAGTGGGTTTCCATAGAAAATGGGTACCTGTGGGTATACCAAACCCATTGAATTTGGGGATGGATATAACATCTCTACCCGATAGGATATTGGGTCGAATATGAGAATTGTCATTTGGATTGGGTTTGGGTATGAGTGTTACACTACCCGACCCAAACCCTATCCATTGCCATTCCTAGGGCGATAGGGCGCTTGTTTCCAAACATTTTAAAATTGAAAAACCAAATTAAGCTTGGATATTTTTAGGTATTGGTAGTATCTATAAATTCATTTAAAGCTGATTTTTTTTTAAATTTATATATTATTAATAAATATCAAGAAAAACTTAGCATAGAGATCCAAATTAGTCCAAATCAATAGGTCTACCTCATACACCAAACCTAGGATGTAAATGCTAAGTGAAAAAATCTGGTAAAACAACATCAGAAATTAAAATATCATAAAGGAAATGAGGATCTCTCCAAATAGTAGGACAAGCAAAATAAATAGCAACTCGAGCTAATGAATGGGCCACCATATTAGCTTGCTGGCAAATCCACTTAATTTAAAAACCAATGTCTTCGGTCAAAGAACCTGACACTCACGAATAATATTATCAAACTCATTATTTGAAATGGAATTAGAAGAAACACTTTGCCAAACCCCCTTGCAATCCATCTCCAAATCAATATTAGAGAAATGTTCTGCTTAAGCCAGCTAAGGGCCTCGCGAACAACAATAGCCTCAACAACGTTAGGAGAGCAATACCCAAAGGTCCATGAAGAATAACCGCGAAAAAACTGACCAATGAGTTGCGAACAACAACACCCACGCTACCTTCCCTTCTGAAGCAAGAACAGCTCTATCAACCATACACCAAAACATGACCCTCCACCGACCGAATCCATCCACGGGCGTCAAAAGCTGAAAATTTTTAATTGTTAATGAAAATGAGTTTTTTTAAAAAAGGAAAAATAAACTTACATTAACATAAATCGCTAAAAATAGCTATGGAAATAGATCATGACGGACAAGACCTGCTCCTTCAAGCCATAAAACGAACACGTCTAAATTGCTAACAAGTGAACAATTATGTTTGCTGATCATCTATAAAGAAAAGGGAATAATGAGAAATCTCATTGAATACAAATTTACAATCCATAATAATGCTAATTAGATAACCATAACCGCTTTATTACGAAAATTTTGAGCTAAAATCTGATAATTGGATTCAAAACAGACATTTTGATAACCTTTATGCTTAACCCAAGTAAGAGCTTCCCAGAAAGATATTGCTTTAACCACAAGAGAATATGAAATTTGAATCCATGACCTTTAAAAGATTTTTTATTACTAATTTTATCCATAATGGATGAAATACGAATATTTTTGGATAGTGATAAAATAATATTTACAAATACTTATGAAATTTAAGTAATTATGCAGTTCATTATTTATAAATAATTAGTTGTTAATTATATAGTGACTTATCCAAGAATAAAACTTTTTATAGATGAAAATATATAATATGAATTTTAGACCTATAAATATATTTTCATGTAATATGTATTATGAATACGTATTCAGCTATTTTATATGAATTAATTGTGTATAAAATTATAATTAAATACAAAAATCTGTGGCATTTTTATTTTCGATCCTCTCAAAATTTCTAGTTTGATCACCAGTTCTAGAAGGGAAATATCAAGGCACTGTTGCTCACGAATACCTAAGAGTATTTCCAATGCAACCGTAGATTGTGCTGATGTGTTTTAATAAATAAAAATTATGGATGGTGATGTGGCTGAATGCGTATTTATAGATGTTAGATTTTAGAAATTGTTCTCTAACGCATGAAGAAGAAATCAGTTTCAGCGCAAGAAGTTTGAGTGAAAATAAAGGAGAAGACATAAAGGAAAATAAAAAAAAATATGAATAAATAGGAAAAAAAAAGAATAAAAAGCTGAGTCATGCTGTCTAACAGACCTTCTATAAAAATAAGGAGCATGATAGACAATTTCTCTTTTTCTTTTTGGCACATCAGACTCACAGACTAAACAAACAATAACAGTAAAGAAGGTTTTTGTTTTTAACTTTTAATATTTCAGACATGACAAATAAATTAACGCAATCAACTGTTGCATTAGAGATGCTCTAAATGAGCCTTGACTATATGCATCTTTCAATTTAGAATTCAAGACCAAAATACATTTATCATATTTTATTTTATTGTATTTTTCTAAAAAGTAAAAAATTAATTTTTTAATAATATGAACAATATATTTTTTCTTTTAGCATATTATTTTTTAAAAATGTGAATTTATTATTTATATTATTAAGAAAATAATTTTTGTATAACGAGTACAATAGAAATAAAATGAAGTGCATTTTGGTCTTTTACAAAAAAAAAAAAAATAGCGGGTAAAAATAAAAATTTGAACAGAATGACTTCTAAATCCAATCGGAGCAAGTACAAGGACGCAATAAAGATACAGATTTTAAACAGTTAATTTTATCAAATTAGAGGGTCTAAATTGTAATTTACCCTTTTAAAAAATTGAAAATTAAAGAAGCATCAATCGGCGCAGTGTCCAATTATATAGCTTGTTGGTGGACCTGACAATTGCACCTTTTGGTCAAAAAAAATCTTTAATTAATTAGCTAAAGCTCTAAGCCGCACCTTTGGTCAAAGAAGCTGTACTCATCATTGACAAACTCATCTATGAAAAATTCTCTTAAAAACTTGGAAAAGAAAATCTCTCGCTAACCCAAAACCCAAGCCTAAAAAGAAAAAGGAATAACTCATATCAACCAGAATAATCAACCAAATCTCTTACGATTCAGTATATTATATACTAAATTTCTTCCACAAACAAAATTATAGCATATACACAAAGTCAATGTCTGCTTCTGTAGTCTCCATTTCTTTTAGACCATTCTAAACGTTGAACCTGCAAAAATACTTCCATTCTTTACCCATCAACAAAAAAATCTCTCTTTCTTTTTCTATAATCAAAACCATGTCCTTGAATTTCTTATGAAATAAAGAATTACTATAGATTTTGATCTTTGATCTTGTTTTACTGTGATGGGTCCATTTAATAATCTTCTAAAGATTGCTTCTTTAATCACAGTGTTGCTGTTTTCTTTAGCAATTGGAGAAGACGATGTGAGATGCCTTCGAGGAGTTCACAGCTCGCTCAGTGACCCACAAGGGAAGCTCAGTTCTTGGAATTTCGCTAACACATCAAATGGGTTTCTCTGCAACTTTGTCGGTGTTACTTGTTGGAATGATCAAGAAAATAGGATCATTGGTCTTGAATTAAGAGATATGAAGCTATCTGGACAATTTCCTGAGTCTTTAAAGGAGTGTAAGAGCCTGCAAAATTTGGATCTTTCGTCAAATGCTTTATCTGGTACTATTCCTACTCAAATTTGTACTTGGTTGCCCTTTTTAGTTACTCTTGATCTATCAAATAATGAAATTTCGGGGTCTATACCTCCTGATCTTGGGAACTGTACTTTTTTGAATAATTTGATTTTGTCTAATAATAGTCTAACTGGGCCTATTCCTTATCAATTCTCTAGTTTGGGTAGGTTAAAGAAGTTTTCTGTGGCAGATAATGATCTTACTGGGACGATTCCTTCTTTTTTTAGTAATTTTGATTCTGGGGATTTTGACGGGAATGATGGGCTTTGTGGGAAACCATTAGGATCTTGTGGTGGGTTAAGCAAAAAGAATCTTGCAATTATAGTCGCTGCTGGGATCTTTGGCGCTGCAGCATCTTTGTTGTTGGGTTTTGGGGTTTGGTGGTGGTATCATTTGAGGTATTCTAGGAGGAGAAAAAGAGGGTATGGTATTGGAAGAGGTGATGATAGTAGTTGGTCTGAGAAATTGAGGGCTTATAAGCTTGTTCAAGTTTCATTGTTTCAAAAACCTCTTGTTAAGGTCAAATTGGCTGATTTGATGGCAGCTACTAACAATTTTACTCCTGAAAATATCATAATTTCGACTGGGACTGGTGTTACCTATAAGGCTGTTCTTCCTGATGGATCTGCACTTGCAATTAAGAGGCTTAGTACTTGTAAGGTTGGTGAGAAGCAGTTTCGATCTGAGATGAGTCGATTAGGTGAGCTTAGACATCCAAATTTGACACCCCTTTTGGGATTTTGTGTTGTGGAGGATGAAAAGCTTTTGGTTTATAAGCACATGTCTAATGGGACTTTGTATGCTTTGCTTCATGGAACTGGTACTTTACTAGATTGGCCAACAAGATTTCGAATCGGTTTGGGTGCTGCTAGGGGTTTAGCATGGCTTCATCATGGATGCCATCCTCCATTCTTGCATCAAAGTATATGCTCCAATGTGATTCTCGTTGATGAAGATTTTGATGCTAGGATAATGGATTTTGGATTAGCAAGGCTCATGACTTCCTCGGATTCTAATGAGAGTAGTTATGTTAATGGGGATTTAGGCGAATTTGGTTATGTAGCACCAGAGTACTCGAGCACTATGGTTGCTTCACTTAAAGGGGATGTGTATGGATTTGGAGTTGTGCTATTGGAGCTAGTGACAGGTCAAAAACCACTTGACATTAGTACTGCTGAAGAAGGATTCAAGGGTAACTTGGTGGATTGGGTGAATTATCTCTCAAGTTCTGGTAGAATCAAAGATGCAATCGATAAGACTCTTTGCGGTAAGGGAAATGATGAGGAAATCTTACAATTCTTGAAAATTGCTTTGAATTGTGTGGTTGCTCGACCCAAGGACCGATGGTCTATGTACCGAGTTTATCAATCCTTAAAAGGCACCGGCAATGACCTCGGTTTCCCAGAGCAAGATGATGAATTTCCATTGATTTTTGGCAAGCAAGACGACGAATGAACAAAGTGTAGCTTTGAAGCGAAGATGGGAGAAGAACAAACAAAATTGTAAACACTCCTGTCGTATGGAATTTATACATTTTCCTGTAAGTTCTTAAACCCCTTGAATGTAAATGGTGTGATCTCCATTTTCAGCTTTCTTTTCCAATTTGTTATGTATAAGTATAGAAATAGATCTGTATGATAAAATAAAACTTTTGTTTAGCTCAGGTTCTTGAATCTCAAGGAATTTCCGTTGTTTGATTATTGTTCTATAACATTTCCCAATTGTCTTTTTGTAGTATTATTTTATTTGGACCTCTTTTATGAAATTGAGAAAAATTAAAAAAAAAAAAAGAATTCAGTTACTATTTTGTTAATTAACATAAAATTTGACGTAATTAGCAAAATAGAGATTCACACTGTCAGGACTTTCACTTTGAAATTAATTTTGAAAGCTTATGTAGAGGTTGAGAATTAGGAGAGAGATTTAAATGGAATTGGGTCCATATGAAAAACAGAACTGTGTTTGGTAAGCTAACGAGCCAATCTGTTTGAGCGGTAATGTTTTCGGAGACTAAGGTGACGTTTGGTTGAGGGAAAGTTGAATAGGGAAGTGCAATTTTCACGGAGTGGATAAAATATTTGTATTTGGTCTGTATTATCATCCAATTTTTTTTACACAAGAGAAGTAAGTTCTTTAGATATGGATAGAGAAGTTGCACTTTTCTAATTTAGTGTAATGCATTTATTAATTTATCTTGTTATTTAAATTTACTCAAATTTATATTATGGATAATTTATAATTTATAGTTTAAGAATAATTTAATTTCTGTGAAGTTGATTTGCATACCAAACACACACACAATGACAATCATGTAGTAATGTTTGGAATTGTTTGATTTAGTTACTTTTTAATTATTAGATTTACTTAGGTGAGGAGTGATCATTCGATTGGAAAGTGATATTCTATTAATAAATAACAAAATAATAAAAAATATTATATTAATTAAAGTCATATTTTACACTAATAAAATTAAAATAGAATTAGCTAGGTTTAAGTTTATTTATATATATTTTTTATGATAATTGAATCCATAACTGAATGGTATAATATCAAACCAAATGGTTTTTTTATGTCCAAATTGATTGATAACCGAATTTCTAAAATAATTATCCAAATCTCAAAATAAATTGATTTGATTCGATTTGCGGTTAGTAACAAGTCCTTCACATGCTAACTTCAGTATAATATATTTTGAAATATATTAAATTAAAATAACATATTTTCGACTATAACAAATCTTTAGATATTAAATTAAAATATTATTATAACATTTTTTAAGAGAAAATTATTAGATTTATTTTATTTATAATCTATATTTATATACTTATATAAAAATGGAGATGAGGCGAAATAATGAAATTGCCGATATTGTCCTTCTAAAGTTTGAGATATTCCGAAAACAATTTTAGTTTTAACGAATTAAAAAATTTTAACTTAAAAATATATAAAATATTTCAATAATTTGATTGGATGTTTTTTTGACTTTTTTTAATAGATAAATAAATATAGATAATTAAGCATATCAAAATTTTAAATATTTACTATTATTATCTTATTTTATCTAATTATATTTTATTTCATTGTTTTTTTTGGGACTTTTTTTAATAGATAATAAATATAGATAATTAAGCATATCAAAATTTTAAATATTTACTATTATTATCTTATTTTTATCTAATTATATTTATTTCAGTATATTATATAATAAATTATTTAATAATAATTTAATTAATTTTTAATAATTTATTATTATTATTATTATATTATTTAATAATTTAACTTCAAAATATATTATTTTAAATAATATATTGTAATGAGCATTTGAAAAATTTTTTAAACATTTTTTCTTTTTTTGAATTTATTTGAAAATAAATACATCTATAGTGATTCAGATTTGATTTAAAGGGTATGGTAATTTCTTTAATTATAAATTGGCACTCAATTTGGTTAGTCCAAAAAATAAAATAAAAAATTATTATTTTTAAATATATCAAATTTAATTGGTTATATTGATATCTTTTATAATTCAACTCCTATTTCTATTAAAGAATATAATTTTATTAATAACTTTTTGAAATGCTTTCATTTTGATTGGCTGAAAAAATAAAAATAAAAATATATTATATTTATAAATATTTAATTTGATTTATTAGATTGTTTTCTTATTCTATTGTTAACGGATATTTATTTACTACAAGAGATTACAGTGAAAATTATTAACAAAACATGTAAATTAATTATAAAATGTATAATAGAGGCTATAAGATGATTTTTATAAATCAATTTGGTCTTTCCTTAAAAGATAAAATAAAAGCAACTAACGTATAATAAAAACTGTATGAATTAGTACATTGACATAGAACCAAAAAAAATTTACCATATATATAAAGTGTAATATAATTTAATCACTCAATCTAAATAAGAATTTATACTTTAACATTATATAAATAAAAAAAACGAGTATAAAGAATGAACATATAACGAGCATAGTCAACGTGCAACACATATCATAAAGAAGACTAGTATATATAAAAGTACGAATGAATGGAGAAATATTAAGTTCCTAAAACACCCCTGTTAAGTTTATGAATTGACAAAAATATCATTACTAATCGTATTCTAATTATAATATCAATTTATTATTTTTATTATATTGACATATCATAATTATTAATTTTTAAATTAATGATATGAATTGACAAAAATATCATTACTAATCGTATTCTAATTATAATATCAATTTATTATTTTTATTATATTAATATTATAAATATAATCTCATTCTAATTAGAAATTTGTCCTATCATACCACTATGTATATGATTAGTTTTAATTGCTTTTCACTATCAAAATTTTATTGCTTTTGACTATCAAGAATTGTTACATCAAGTTTTTGCTAATTTGAAATTATTGAATTTGCAATCATATTTTCTTTTTTCGGTAAACGCAACTTTAACTCTCTCTCTCTATATTTACAAATTAATAGAATAGTTTTTATTTATAGTTCCTATAATTAGATTTATAGATTTATAGATTAACTGTAATTATTTAGTAATCGTGAATAATTATAAGTTTATAAGTTTTCCCTCCTCAATAGCATTATCATAAAATATCTTACATAAGCCCAATATCTTTAAAATTAGGATGAATCTGCTAATTAAAAACATTTTAAATTTATTGTAGTGCGATTAAAATTGTAGTAAATTAATAGCTTAAATTAGATTGGATTATATTATTTTTTCATTTAATTGCATATTATTTTAGTAACTAAAAACAAATCTTGTTTCATTCAATTATTTTTAGTCGCCGTGTGGGATATAAGGGTTTCTACAAAAAATTTTTATTTTCACATCATTCGCGTGTTCTAAACACGTTGATCATGATTGTATTTGGACGCGTACTATTTGATTGTTGATACTTTCCTAGCTCTGCGAGAGTCCGGTATCTACACCGCCGGAGTTAGTGAAACGGGAGAATTTTTTATTCGTTTGCCTAAAAAGTTATAGATGACCAAATTCGCCTTTCCTATTTTCCTCTCTTTTTTCACCGCCTTGTACCCTTTCGGTGGTGCTTTTACACTTTCTTTTCTGCTTTTTCTCGTCTTTTGATACGCTTTGCACTTCCTTTTTATTGGTTCTTACTCTCTTTTATTTTGTTATTTTATTAATAATATGCATTAAAAATAAGTGTTACTGCCTAGATTTTTCTTAATTAGGAAATTTTTGGCGCATTCCTCTGCATATACATAAAATATTATAATTTAATATCTTATAAATTTTAAATATATTAATAATATAAGACTATGTAAAATTTTATTAATCTCGTTTATTGGTAGCTCTTTTTGTAATTAATATTATCAAATTTAATTTTATTCTAATTAGAAAATTTTACTTTCATTATCCTGTTTCTTAATTATGAAAATATCAAATTTAGTTATTTTTATTGATACTTTAATACTTATAAATTTAATCCAACTCTAATTAAAAAATGTTTGTCCTTTAGAGATATTATTGCTAATTAGGCATTTTGTTCTATCATACCACTATAAGAAATATGTTTGGTTGTTAATTGTTTTTTGAGTTATGATTATTAAGAATTTGTTACTCCTAATGCTAGTTATAGCATGGGAATTTGTTGGTTGTTGACTATGCAAGAATTAATATTTCCATCAAGGCGTTATGGCTAATTTTGGGAATTATATGGTGGGTAAGTTTTTATAATCTTATAATTTCTCTATTTAATTAATTATAGATAAAATGTTATATGTTTCAGATCATTTATGAAGGTATGTTCCTAAGGCAATTATTAGGTGTCAGACCCCGGATTTTCGGTGGGCCGGAACCGGCACTAAGAGTGGGCTCTATGGGATAAGCGTTAAGGCCACCGAGGCCCGTAAGTCAAGGTCTAACCCACTCCAACTCAAGCATAAGCACATCAATTCAATAGGACAACGCTGACACCAGTACACCGACCATACAGGCATTATAATTTTTTACATAATGCGGTCCCAATTTTATACAATTTTCCTCAAACAAGTTTTAGTTTGGGACTCAATTCATAAATCAATCACATTCATCATATGTTGCATACAACACATAGGTCATACACTGACACCTAATAACGATACAACATACATTACGCGCTACCACACATACGGCAGGCCCAACTGAAAAATACACGACCCTAGAGCAACTTGCGGAGCTCTCAACAATAGATTGAAACTATAAGCTAGTGTATGTAAATTAATTAATAGCAAATCGTGCCAAATTAAATTTAACAAATCGTTATAAAGTTTACTTTTTTGTCAAGGCTCCAGGCGAGTAAAATGACAGAGCTGTACGAGTTGGGATCTAGCGACTTCCTACTACCATGAAGACTGTTTGGAGAGATAAAGTGGGGTGAGTTGATTTTTGTCACCCTCAGTTTGATATAATAATAAATAAATACAACAACCCTACACACATTCTACTAGCAGAAATGCAATGGCCATAATATTCTAAAATGTACAAAGTGCCTGCAACGTCATTCAATGGCACCACACTAGCACCACACAAGTAATGGTCATAACCTTACAAGCGTAAATGCAAGTAAGTGGAATTAGTCAGTTGGCACCAAGACCTTGAAACCCAACGAGCCGTCCTCAAACCAGCAGTGGCTCGGCCTCTCGTCACATGTGCATTCCAGCGTGGGAGCCGATCCTCGCGCATAAAAACGGCCTAACCTGGGTCTAAAAT